ATTTATATATAGTAATATGGGCGTAAATTAGTTACTCCCAATATATATATATTTATATATATATATATATATATATATATGTGTGTGTATGTATATATATACGTATATGTATATGTATATGTATATGTATGTATATATATATATATATATGTGTGTGTGTGTGTGTGTGTGTGTTATATTAATCTGTGTTGGTTCGTCTTGACAGTACATATTGCGCTGGTCGAAGACATATCAGTTGTTATCTAAGCGTGAGAATATCACGTGCTCGTGTAGTTATTAACTGCAATATAAAATACATTATTGGTTATATTCGTAAATACAATATTAAATTTAATATTAAAAACAGCATTAATTGCAATATTAATTACATTGTTAGGAATACAATATAAAATACATTATTAGTCCAGTATTAGATACAATTTTGATTCTATTATTAATTACAGTTTTAATTACAATACTGTTCACATGGTTAAAGATACATTGTAACATACAGTATTAGATACAGTATTAAATTCAAATATTAATTACAGCATTAACTACAAAATGAATTACGATGATAAAATTACAATATATAATACATTATTAGCCAACAATATTACCTCGTTTACCAAATTATTTGGTAATAATTCTGTGAACGAATCTTCAGATGTATATTTTAACAAGTTACGCACCCATATTCAACCAGCGGGGTCGCGCGCACGCAAACCAGGTTTGCGATATAAATCAAACCAGGTTTATGATATCACTCAAACCAGGTTTAGGATATCTATGAACATGGGCTTCAGAAAATGAAAGCATACACTCAGTGTCTACCACATATGTCTCATATCATTTCTCACACTTCCCTTACCTGCTTCCTGCAGCCGCGACATGTGGTCCATGATCTCTAAGCTGCACAGTGGGCGTAAATGGATAGGAAAAGCTGTTAAGTACACAGTAGAGCCAGTACAGTAGTAATGCCTGATATTGCATGATGTTATATTAATTATATTATAGTATGTTACGGTAAACGAAGATAAGCTGCTAAGTAAAGAATATAGCCAGTGCAGTAACAATGCCATAAATTATAATATATTGTAATATATTATAGTATATTGTATTATATTATACTATATAATATTACATTACTTTATATATAATATTATATTGTATTGTATTATTTTATTTTATTTTATATTATATTATTTTATATTATATTATATTACATTATATTATATTATATTATATTATATTATATTATATTATATTATATTATATTATATTATATTATATTATATTATACTATATTATATTATATTATATTATATTATATTATATTATATTATATTATATAATAATATATAATATTATATTATATCAAATTATAGTATATTATACTATAATACATTACATTATATTATATAATGGTTCCCCGATTGGACTGAAGATAGTCCGAGAAACCATGGCTAGGGGTAGAAAGATGGCTGAAATCCGAACATTGAGTGGAGCATACACGGACGCAAACCGCATTCAGCTGTGTATTGACAAAACAATCGCTACTCCAGTATTCATTAACATAACATACTTAACCCGACACCTTATGGTTTATCCTAAGAGTCCGTTGTAATACATTGATATAACATCCGCACACATATCCAATATATTGTCATAACATACTCACGCCACTGACTTAACCCACCCACCCCAGTATCGTCCTGAGTAGCCTATTGCATTCTGTGTGTATTGTATTGTTTTCGATTGTATTACATTCACCTAACCCACTTACCCCAGTATCTGATGTTTTGTCCTGAGTAGCCTATGGCAGTCTGTGTGTATTGTATTGTTGTTGATTGCATTACATTGACCTAACCCACTTACCCCAGTATCTGATGTTTTGTCCTGAGTAGCACATTGCAGTCTGTGTGTATTGTTTTCGCCCGTTGCAGCGCGTCGAAGAACAAATCGTTCAGTGGCACCGGAGCCCCGCCTTCGTTGTGCTGTTACGTTTACCGTTTGCGTAAGGTACGGATATTGTTTTTGAGGTTTGGCCGTACTCGCGGGGTGGATACTTCTATATTTTACGTATTTCCGTGAGTACGAGTGCAACGATTGAAACTTGGCGTCGAATAAATGTAATATCAATTATCATCAGCAAGCTTTACGTTTATAGCTACCGAACTTCATGGGCACGAATACCGACAGGGTTTATGCTAGTATGGTCACCATGTCGATAGCATGATTGCATAGGAAGCAGCAACAACAACAACAACACCAAATTGAGTCATCAACAGGGGTTTTAAACCCTAAACCCTGAAACACAATCAACGGAACCGAGAGTCTAGCGCCCGAGACGCAAAATTTCTACAGTGTGTGTGGGGTATAGCACGTAGCAACTTGTCGTCTCTACACACTTGCAGTATGTGCAGATGCACCGACAAGAGCACGGTGTATGCTATAAATAGCGCAAATCTATTGATAGCCACCAATGAGAACTATGATACATTGACCTACGTCCAAGGACGCGTCAGGAACACACAGGACCTGTCTAGTACCGATCTTTTTCGGCTATAAACACTCGCCAAAGCATACACTATGAAAGTGAAAATCTATTTATAGCCACCAATGAGAAGCCACATTGACCTACGTCCAAAGACGCGTCAGGAACACAGGACCTGTCGAGTACCGATCTTTTTCGGCTATAAACACTCGCCACAGAATACACTATGAAAGTGCAAATCTAATTATAGCCACCAATGAGAACTATGCCACATTGACCTACGTCCAAGGGCGCGTCAGGAACACATAGGACCTGTCAAGTACAGATCTTTTTCGGCTATAAACACTCGCCACAGCATACACTATAGATGTGCAAATCTATATATAGCCACCAACAAGAATCGTGTCATAGTACCTAACTTCAAGGACGCGTCCGGAATAGATAGAACAGGTAGCCCCCAAATTACATCCTGTAAGGGCTCTCGTGCTTACAGTATCACCGAAATAGGCACAGCACACAGTTATATTAATAGCACCGATCTATTGATAGCACCGATCTATTTATAGCCACTAATAAGAACGATATCACCAGTACCTGACTCCAAGGACGCGTCCGGAATAGATAATAGAATCGGTCGCCCCCAAACGTACCGATCTATTTGTAACACCAATCTATTAATAGTCACCAATGAGAACCGCTTCACCAGTACCTACCTCCAAAGTCGCGTCCGTGATAGACTGGGCCCGGGTGGTCCCGAACCTTCCACCTGTGAGTGCATTCATCTCCTGCGGTGTGAGCTGAAAGCGCGCGTTGAACGCTCTAACCACCTCCAGCCGAATCTGGGTACTCGCCTGCTTCTCTTGCATCTCGGTCGTCTTCTCCACGACACCTGTGTGGGGGTGGTAGGTATATGAGAACGTGCGTAGCTGTAGTGGGTATGTATGAACGTGTGTGTATGCGCCATAATTTTTTATATATGCGCCATATAG